CGTCATACATTTTTTATTTAGAGGAGGAAAGCGGGGACGAAGATGTTGTGGAAGAGGACGCCAGGGCGGCAGACGCTGCCAGTTCTGTTAGCTCTATGCCTGCTGAAGACACAGACGTCCATCCCCGTGAACACTGGGACGGAACTCAATGGGAAAGGAAATTATTCTTATTTCTCATTTCAACCGTTGCGTATATTAGCTGCGACATATGAATCAAACTGCTATAACCAAAAAAAAAAATGATTGACAGATGATCATTGATACATAATTTGCCAAATTTAGGTGTTCAGGCTGATGTATAGCTAACTGGCCTGCATAAGATAACGGAAAAAAACACACACAGATATTAAGACAGGATTTTTTTTTACATATACATTTTCTAACCTTTGGGACAATATGGTCTGATAAAGAGTACATTTATATACGTTTAAGCCAGAATGATTTGACATTTAAATATAAGTTCCCTGCGACTTAAAAGAATGGAGGATAACAACTCATCTTAAAGGAATCTTTGGTCATATTTTGGTAATCAAATGTTTTCAGCATATTAGTAAACATATAAATATTCATGTTATGTTGGTTCTTAAACACTTTGTGAAGTGGAGCTTCTTTTTGCGTTGTAAACAACAGCTCAAATGTCCCCCATATCTTCCAGAAGAAACTGGAAGAAAGTCCTGTTAATAGATCATATTTTGTAGAACTGGGATAGTTCCATTGAAAACAACTCACTATATACACATGGCTACAACAGGAGAAATCTTTATGAGAATACACACAGTGACACAAATTAAGAATTAAAATAATTTATTTAGTGTGTGTAATGCAGATCTAGATTAATGACTCTATAGTGGCCTCAGCCGCCCTCTTTGCTGTCGTCTGCTAGGCCCCAGGCAGCACAGAGCGGAACAGAAAGAGACTGAACAAGCTGGTGAGAAGGTCACTTCCATCCTAGGCAGCTCTCTGGACTCGATGGAGGAGCAGCTCCTTTTCTAACAGATTTATATATCCCGTGTGTAAAGAGGCTCGCAGCTCGTCTGCCTGGCTGTGTGTTTCCTGGACGGTGCCGCCTTTTACAGCTGCTTTTTGTATCTCTGCTTCTGTCTC